CAGAGTAAGATAAATTTCTATATCCAACTGAGTGTATATGTTATTCCTTCTTTAAGCCAAATCTGATGAGTAAGGTTCAAATAATGCTCACCCCTCTCTTCTTTCATTGTACTGTAATAGGTCTTTTGTGCCTCTACATGTGATATAATTTACCCTATTCTGCCTCTCCCTTTCCTCTTCTCTCAGTACAATCCTTTTTTTTCCCACCCCTTAATTTTTTTTATATCATCACATCAAAGTCATTTTATCCCCATACCCTCTGTCTATGTATATTCCTTCTAACTGCCTTATTAGAAGTACAGTCCTCAGACCTATGAGTATTATCTTCCCATTGTAGGAATGTAAACAGTTTAATCTTATTGAATAACATGTTCTTTTCTTTCCTGTTTACCTTTTTATACTTTTCAAATCTTATATTTGAAGATCAAATTTTCTGTTCAGCTCTGGTCTTTTCATCAGGAAAGTTTGAAAGTCCTCTATTTCATTGAATGTCTATCTTTTGCCCTGAAAGATTATGCTCAATTTTGCTGGGTAGTTGATCCTTGGTTGTAATCCAAGCTTCTTTGCCTTCCAGAATATCATATTTCAAACCCTCTGATCCTTTAATGTAGAAGCTAAGTCCTATGTAATCCTGACTGCGGCTCCTTGATATTTGAATTGTTTCTTTCTGGCTGCCTGCAGTATTATCATGACCTGATAATTCTGGAATTTGGCTACAATATTCTTTGGAGTTTTCATTTTGGGATCTCTTTCAGGAGGTGATTGGTAGATTCTTTCAATGGCTATTTTATCTTCTGGTTCTCAGGGCAGTTTTCCTTGATAATTTCTTGAAAGATGCTGTCCAGGCTCTTTTTTTTTTTATCATGACTTTCAGGTAGACCAATAATTCTTAATTTATCTCTCATGGATTTATTTCCCAGGTCAGTTGTTTTTCTAATGAAGTATTTTACATTTTCATCTATTTTTTTCATTCTTTTGATTTTGACTGATTCTTAATGTCTCATCAAGTCATTAGCTTCCACTTGCCCAATTCTAATTTTTAAGGAATTATTTTCTTCAGTTAGCTTTTGTGCCTCCTTTTCCATTTGGTCAATTCTACTTTTAAAGGAATTGTTTTCTTCAGAGGATTTTCCCCTTCCAATTTGGCCAATTTTATTTTTTAAAGGAGTTGTTTTCCCTAGTCAATTTTTGTGCTTCCTTTTCTAAGCTGTTAACTTTTTCATAATTCTCCTGCATAACTTTCATTTCTTTTCTCAATTTTTTTTCTACCTCTATTACTTGATTTTTAAAATCTTTTTTGAGCTCTTCCAAGAAGATTTTTTGGGCTTTCCCCTTTGAGGCTTCATGTCTAGGCATTTTGACAGTGTTGTCCTCTTCTGAGTTTGTGTTTTAATCTTCCTACTGCTATAGCAGGTTTCTATGGTCAAGACTCTTTTCTGTTTCTTACACATTTTTTAGCTTATTTCATGACTTTTAAAGTTAAACTCTGCTCCTGGGCACAGGGGCACTGTCCCAAGCTTCTTATGCTGGGGCCCAGGGAGTTGATCACTGGCTTTCCATGCCAGGCCTCAGATGCTTGTGGCTTACCCACTGCACTGGGGTGGCCTGGTCTAGTCACATCTCTTGTGCCAGGGTTCCAGGGACTGCAATTCACTTTCCGTGTTGGCGCTAGAGTCCTCACGGCTGGCCTGCTGGGCCAGGATTAAGGGGCCTCGGTTACTGATCTGTACTGTGGCTAAGAGCCTCCCACTGGCTGGCCTGGACGCTGGCTGTGCTGTGCTCTGCTTTTACCCAAGTGACACAAAGCTTTCCTGAAGTCCTTCTAAGTTATCCTAAGCCGGAAAATTGTTTCACTCCATCTTTTTGTGGGTTCTGTTGCTCCTGAATCCATTTAGAAGCTTGATTTAATGTTGTTTCTGACGGAAACTAGCGAGAACCTTCCTCCACTATCTTGGCTCTGCCCCTTAACACACTTTTTAAAAAGTAGATAGAAGTGTGGAGCCAAGATGGTGGAGTAGCAAGAAGTACAGTGATCTCCCTCAACCTTTCCAAAGAACCCCTTCAAACTGGTCTAGACCAAATTCTGATTAGAAAATCTAAGCAAAATGTTGAGTGTGACCCAGGAGTCAGACAGAGAGGTTTGGACACAGGATTTGGTCTGGACACTGTGTAGAGCATTCCAGTGCAAGGAGAGGCTATGTATTAGGACAAAAGAAGAACATAGGTCCAGCTCAAAGGAGCTTACACTTGTGCACAGTGCAGGGAAAGGTGTCTACTGGCAAGGCTGTCAACAACTTCCCAGTTCTAAGTCATGGAGAGACCTGTGCCTTGGGTGACATTCCAGGGTGAGGGGTGGTTGTTGGTACTGGGTGGTATACTGAGACAGAAGCAAGCAGCAGCTGTGTGGTCCAGACCCCAGGAGTGGAGCAGGGTCTAATTTCCAGCCTTCAGCTAGTCTGCAGCCTGCAGTGGAATAACTAGAGTAGGAATCCCAGACCAAAGGGAAGCCTACAATTCGGCTACTCTGTACCAGGAGAGCTTTCCAGCTGGATAAAAGTAGCTGAGTCCAGTGACAGTCTACTGGCACTCCAAATGAGGCGAGTCCACAGTCCTTTCACTCATACCCAAAGCCAGTCAGGAACTTGCAGGGCTCAGAACAGGGAGAAAGCAATCAAATGTGATTGATCATTGAAAGCCTGCAGGTCCCCAGTGTGAGCTGTTCCTGAGATCCTGGAATAATACAACACTCAACACCCCAAGAAAGCAGCAACAGGACCAGCTCAGACCTTCCCTCCAGAAGTGCAAAGAGCCTGGCCCTAATAAAGTCTGAAGTCAGGAAGGAGGCTGGAAGAATGTGCAAACAAACAAAACACAAAACCTCACAATAAATAGCTATTATGGTGAGAGGGAAGCTTAAGTCACAAATCCAGAAGAAAAGAATGCCTCCAAAACATCTATAAGCAACGTCTCAAAGAAAAACACTGCCTGAGTATAAATTCGACTCAAACTCCTAGAAAAGAGGAAGCAAGAGTTAAAAAAAAAAAGTTAAAATTTTAAAATAAATGAAATAAGAACATGAGAGAAAAAAATGGAAAAGAAACGAGAGTTATGGAATAAAGAATTAGAAAGGGAATTACAGCTTGTTATAAGAGGTACAAAACCTCACCCAAACAACAAACTGCCTAAAAATTAGAATGGACTAAATAGAAGCCAATGACCCCATGGAGCAAAAAATATTAAAATGAAGTCAAAAGACAACAACAACAACAACAACAACAAAACAAAAAAACAGAAGAAAATTTAAGCTATCTCACAGGAAAAAAAACTGACCTGGAAAATAAACTGAGGAGAAAAAATTTAAAAATCACTATTTCCTGAAAGCCAAGACAAAAACCCAAAGTCTAGATATCCTATTTCAAGAACTCTTAGAAGAAAACTGCCCAGATTTCTTGGAACCACAGGGCAAAGTAGAAATCGAAAGAATCCACTGGTCACCGCCTGAAAGAAATCCCCAAATGAAAACTCCTGGGAATACTATTGCCAAATTTAGGAGCTTCCAAATAAAAGAAAAAAAAATGCGGCAAGCAGTCAGAAAGAATTCAAATACCAAGGAACTACTCAGAATCATGCACGATTTAGCAGCCACCACTATAAAGGAGCAGAGTGCTTAGAATATGATATTCTAGAAGGCAAAGGTTTACAACCAAAAATAACTTACGCAGCAAAACTGAGTGTAATCCTACTGGGGAAAAATGGACACTCATCTCATTACTCCCCTGTTACTACTGAGAGTACCACTAACCTCCAATCTGCCAAGCTCAAAACCTAGGTTTCATACTTGACTCCTCACCCTATCACCCACATCCAATCTGTTGCCAAGGTCTGTGGATTTTACCTTTTTAATAATTCTTAAATATACTTCCATCTCTCCTCTGACACTGCCACCACTTTGGAGCAGACCCTCATCACTTCATACCTGTACTATTACAATAGCCGGCTGGTGGGTCTGCTGGCCTCAAGTTTTTTCCCACTCCAGGGTACTCTCCATTCTGATGGCAAAGTGATTTTCCTAAAGTGAAAGTACGATTATGTTGTGCCCAGCCTCCCCCAACTCAATAAATTCCAATGGCTCCCTATCACCTCCAGGGTCAAATATGAAATCCTATTTGCTGTTCAAAATCTTTTATAATCTATCTCCAACTCTCTGTGCCCCATGGCCCCCTACATAAACATTCTTCAATCCAGAAACACCAGCCTTTTGCTGTTGCTTGAACAAGGTATTCCCTCTCCCAGCTCCAGGCATTTTTGATGGCTGTCCTTCTGCATTGAATTCCTTCCCTCCTCATTTCTGCCTCCTGGCTTCCTTTGCTTCCTTTAAGTCCCAGCTAAAGTCCTACCTAACTTTTCCTAATGCCTCTTAATTTTAGTACCTTACTTCTCTTGATTATTTTCTATTTGTCTTATATATGATTTGTTTGTACACAGTGGTTTGCATGTCATCTCCCCCATTAGACTGACAGCTCTTAGAGTAGGGACTCTCTTTTGCCTTCCCTTTGTATTCCTGTCTGGCACATAGTAGACACTTAACAAATGTTTACTGACCAACTTTAATGAAACAGAGGATTTCCAAGCATTCCTGATGAAAAGACCACAACTGCAAAGAAACTCTGAAGTATAACCATAGGAGTTAAGAGAAAAATAAAAATCATAAGGGACTAGCAGCTAGAAGTGGCTCTGTTATGAAAACAGTAGGGTTTAAATAAATTAATTACTTCTTTTTCAATTCTGCTGGGTGCAAAGTGGAAAGAAAAGAAGTCAGAGAAACTTGTGTTCATATTCTCACCTTCTAGGTGTGATAAAGGGGAAAGGAACATTTGCCATTCAAAGTCTACCTTTGAACTCTAAGCCATTAAATCCTAGAGTAGATTTCTACTAGATTTTTGAAAATACATTTATATATTTTCATATTTTTTCATATATGTAGCACATATTTTACTCACGTCATTCCAAGAACCCTCGTGTAGAAATCCAGTGACTTTTTTGGATCTTTTATTCTTAACATTGTTTGTTGCAACAGGAAATCCTAAGAGAAAATAATAATGATAAAATATTTTAAACTATTACATAGATAACAGCACGGCATAGGATAGACAGAGTGTTGGCCTCAGAGTCAAGAAGGACTGAGTTCAATTCTGGCCTCTGTCACATTGGACGTGTGATCCTGAGCAAGTCACTTAACTTAATAAGTGTCCTAGGAAACTTTAGCTATTCAATGGTGTAGAGAGTTCCCCCACTAGGAGCTCCATATACTGATAAAATCACAGGTTTAGTTAAAAAAAAACAAACCAAAAAACTACCAACAACAACAAAAATAATCTAGATAGTACACAATGGTGACATGTACTTGTAGAACACTCCACTATTCTGATAGTACTTTTAAAAAATAACATGGCGGCCCTTTTTTCAGTTGGTGGCCAGCATCTTAGCAGGTGTTAGCACTCCTCTCCTGCCCTGCACTCAGTTCCTCTTCCTGGTCCCTCCCACCACCACCGTGGGCTTTGGAGATCTCAAGACAGACGAGGGCCTGCAGCACCTCAACATGGAATCCTGTAGCTACATCGAGGGGTATGTGCCATCCCAGGCAGACCTTGCAGTATCTGAAGCAGTCTTAGGCCCATCACCTGACAACTTGTACCATGCTCTCTGTTGGTATAACCACATTCAGTCCTATGAGAAGCAGAAGGCAAGCTTGCCAGGAATAAAGAAGGCTCTGGGCAAGTATGGGCCTGATGATGTAGAAGATACCACAGGAAATGGTGGAGCTACAGATAGCAAAGATGGTGCTAACATTGATCTCTTCGGGTCTGAGGAGGAGGAAAGTGAGGAAGCAAAGAGGCTAAAAGAAGAACACCTTGCTCGGTATGAATCAAAGAAATCAAAAAAACCCCTGCAATTGTTGCTATATCTTCCACCTTACTGCATGTAAAACCTTGGGATGATGAGACAGACATGGCAAAACTGGAGGAATGTGTCAGAAGCATTCAGGCAGAGGGCTTGGTCTGGGGATCTTCTAAATTAGTTCCAGTGGGATACAGCATCAAGAAGCTTCAGATACAGTGTGTAGTTGAAGATGATAAAGTTGGGACAGATATGCCAGAGGAACAGATAACTAACTGCCTTTGAAGACTATGTGTACTCCATGGATGTTGCTGCCTTCAATAAGATCTAAAAACCACCATCCTCAAAAATTGCATTTAAATAAAAATATTTGCAAGCAAAGAAATAAATAACATAGTGCTTATACTGCAACTGCATTTAAATAAAAATATTTGCAAGCAAAAAAATAAATAACATAGTGCTTATGCTGCTTAGTCAATATAATCTAATGAACTTCTAAGACTATAGTTTGGAACAGGTGTTAGAAATGAGTTAATCAAAAGGTTACAAAGAACAGAGACAATAGGAAGAACATGGAAAACTGAGTCTTGAATGGAAAGGGAAAAGGGTCTTTTCTACCTTTTCTTGGCACCTCTAATGATGCTAAATAAAGGAAGTACAATTTTATATTCATAGTGTCTATAATGGGAAGGGGGCTGAGAGGTATGGCTAGGTAGATGACTAGAATAAGGCCTGCACTGGGGATGGGTCTGTTCTGATAAATCCACAGGTATCTCATAGGCTAAGAAATTGTGGAACACTGGACTAGTTAACAGACTTATGAGTCTCATTCTCATCTCAACTCCTTAAGTTGTATAACCATATGACTTTATGGAAATGGATAATTTCCCTGGAAATTGAATTTCTCACATAATGGATTGCTGTCCAGGGATTTTTTCAGATAACTGAAGCTTATCCCTTTAGGAACTGAAGTTCTTTTATTTTAACCACTTTTGATGGAAATCTTTGTAAAACATATTACAGACTTCTCTACCTTATCAAACTGAGTATAATGAACGTTTCTGACAACTCCATCAACCTATATCAAATTATGCTGAAATTGTTATCTCCAGTTTCTCATGCTTTCTGAACATGACCCTCTCCTTTCCCCACTAAAATCTCTCGTTTTTTTTTTTAAATCCTCCTCTTAATCTCCAGATTCATCAATGATACAGAAATTCATATTCTCTAGCCTTCATATCTTCTTAGGGTGTACCAGAAAACCAAATTACATAATTATTACTCTTGCTCCATTCAGAAAAGTATCCTCTCAAATTTACATATTTTTGGGGAAGGGAAGATTTTTCCACAGAGTGCCAGAAAAATCTCTATGACCTGGAAACTTATACTTATGGTATTTGGACTCAGAGAAAGGGAGCCTAAGTTTGAATCCCCTCTCATTTACAAGCTGCATAATAATGGGTAAGTCACTTATCCTCCCAGGCCCACAGTTTTCTTGTCAGTAGAATGTGAATGACAATACATACAACTCACACACAACATTTTCACAGAGTTTTCATGAACACTGGTTCATCTATTCTGTAGAAATTAAGAATAGGTATGTTTTTTTTTTAAGAAAAGTAATCTGGAATCATGAGGCAACATAGCACAGTGGATGGAGCTAATCCCTGAGTCAGGAAGACCTGGGTTCAAGTCTAGCCTCAGAATTATATTGATTGTGTGATTCTGGACAAATCACTTAATTTCTTAAGGATCCTCAGTTAACTCTCAAATACTGGAAACTACAGAACAATTCTTGATCTGCAGGGGCAGAGGGAGAGTCTTATCTGGATCTTCCCTATATAGATAAAATCACCAGTCTAGACCAAAAAAAAAGAAAAAAAAAGTTTTATCAAGGCCATATGAGATCTATACCATCTCATTAATGATGACCATGTTGTGTTAAAGACAACAAACACAAGTCATGTATAAAAGTGAAGTGGACACAGTGAAAAATGAGGGACAATAAAATTAATAGTCCAAGTGTGGAGAAGGGGATCACCATCCTCCCCACCGCTAGCAAAACTACTGACAGCTGTCACCACCAGGTAGATCAGCACAAGAACACTGGAAGTGACAGGACCCCCCCATCCCAGCTGCCATCATCCAGGGATGCCAACACCTGTGCAGAAGGGGCCAGCCAGCCCCACATATTGCCACCCACAGGGCAGGCAAGCCAGTCTAGCCACAGAAGCCAGGCACTCTGAGGGAGAGACAGGGGCTCCTGGAAAGCAGGGACTGTCTTAATTTTCTATTTGCATCCCCAGCACTCAGTACAATGCTTTGCACCTTATAAGCCCTTTAAAAAAATGCTTTTTTTCATTCATCCATTTATTCAAAACGGCAGAACCAAGACTTGAACCAAAGGCCACCGATACTAAGTTCAGTATTCTTTCTACTAAACACTTATGGGCTCTCATTCAACAATGCTAGATAACATGGCAATCATGAGGGTTCCTGATAAATAAAGGTATTCTTTCTTAACATTAATCAGGGGTGTATCAGTGAGCTGGAGATATAAGGAAGTGATGCATAATGTCAACAACAGTCTAGCACTTCATCCTGAAGTCAACTGTAACTCTAGTAGTCTCCACATAACCCAATTTAAATTACCTCTGTCAAAGAACCCTTAAAATGCCTGCCAATTCTAGAGGACGGTCCACAGAGAACTCTGAACACTGACAGGGCAGGACGGCTAAATGATTAACTACAGCAATCATTTAATAGTGCCTTAGGCTAAACTCCCTTTGAATTTAGGCTTTCCTTTGTGCTTGCAGCCTGGGAAGCTGCTTACATACTGCAGTTACTTAACACAAATCCAGAATATCCTGCAGTACCAGGTGGTGAGGTGGAGACCTGGAAATCTTTTCGAATTTTTTTTTTTAAGCTAGAAGGGCAAGTTACCTAACTTCAGTTAACTAAAGGCTCTCAAAAGTCTGAAAGTGTTTATATGTTAAGGTAAGAGACGGGTATTAAGAAAGATAGAATGAACTTAAAACTGCTGTAATAAACCAAGTAAAGAGTAGGAAAAGTTAACCACAGGGGACTGAAAAGTAGCATGGAGGGGTTAGAGGTAACCGAGTTATTGGAGATGAGACACCCAAGGGACTTTGAACCCCACCTGTTGGGATTTAGAAATAGCCACAGTGCGTAACAGGGAACTTTCAATTCACAAATGTAGAGATGAAAAGAACCGCAAGTTCTAGAATTACATAATTCCAACCCTTTCCCCCACTTTATCAACAAGGAAAGTGAAGCCCAGGGAGGCCCAGTGACTTGCCACTGGTCACACAGATAGGAAGTATCAGACGCACGATTTGAACTCATGTCCTAGTGCTCTTTCTACCAACTGCCTCCCAGAAAAGGGCAGTAGAGCCTTACGACCCCTGGAGAAAAAAATATAATAATAATAATAATCACAATAATAATAAAGGACCAGCAGCCCTTAAGTTCACTGCAGCCCCAAACCATCGCGATATTGGTATAAAGGACAATGATAATAAATGGGGGAACAGAGACACTCTTTATTAAACTCCTGGGGAAATGGACAGCAAGGGAGTCCCCAGTCGGGCCTGCTCCTGAGACACCTCCGGCGCTCGGACCCCATCCCCAGGCCAAGGCTAGGGGAGAAGAAAGGCGGCGGTGGGGAGAAAAAAGGCGGCGGTGGGCCCGAAGCGTCCCTACTCATCCACCCACCTTGGTGCTGGGGTCTGGGTCCGAGCAGAAACTCAGGGTGGCCTCTTCGGTAAGGCCCTCGAATGCCTGCGTAGACTCGGCCATGGCAATGAGCGAGACTCCCGTGGGGCCTGGGCGGAGAAGAGGAGATGGCAAGAGAAGGAGCTCCTAGCCGCCGCCACCGCCTAATGCTAACTTCACCCGCAGCCCTGAGGGCCACTTTAGTATGTCTCGAGGAGGGGCTCCGGGGCCGATCGCCCAATCAGGGCTCAGAGAGTGAGCTCGCTCTCCCAGGATTGGGTGCCGATGAGTCAGAGCCTCAGAGGCTTCGCTCCATGAGCCCCCGAGGAGACTACAACTCCCAGTGTACCCGGCGGCAAGTCCCGCTCGGCCTGGTGCTACGGAGGCGGGATGTTGATAAATGGAATTTCTCTGGAATTTGGGCCACGTTTTACCAACGTAGGGACTTTAAGTGTCTCTTTACTGCCCACGCCCGACCTGAGGGTAAATTAATTCATAGGATTTACAACTGGAAGGGAAATCATTGCACCTTAGATTTTAAAATAGGAAGGAACTTTAGGGAGCAATCCAGTCCAACCCTTTTTTAGTTTTTATTTATTTTATTTATTTTTAATTTGTTATTATTCTTATATTTTTTACTTTGAGAAAATTGAAGCCCAGAGAGGTTAGGACTTGCCCAAAGTCACACAAGTGTAGCACATGTAGTGAAGCTGCATGTTCCAAGATTCAAATTTATTGGAAAACTGGTCATTATTTAGGAATTTTATGGGGTGGCAGGGGGGAAGTTATTCTTTGGGAATCATAAGGGTTCTTGAAAAAGCAAACTACTGGGGGATGAGATTTGGGGGTGAGAAACACTCCTTTATACTTAATAGAAGCTATTTTTGTGGTGGCAAAGAATTGAAAATTGAGGGGATGCCCATAAACTATCGAATGGCTAAACAAATTGTATGTGATTGTGATGGAATGCTGTTGTGCTATAAGAAATGATAAGGGGAATGGTTTCAGAAAAACCTAGGAAGATGAAATCATTGACAGTGACAGCAATGTTGTAAGCATGATCAACTATCAAAGACTTGGCTACTCTGATCAATACAATAATCCAAGGCAATTCTAAAGAACTCATGATGAAAAATACAATCCCACCTCTGGATAGAGAACTGATGAACTCTAAGCACGTATTGAAGCATTTTTTTTCATTTTCTTTATTTTTCTTGCCTTTTTTTCTTTGCAACATGGCTAATACAGAAATAGATTTTGCTTGACTTCATATGCATAATAGGTATTCTATGGCTTGACTTCTTGATGGGTAGGGGAGGGGCTGGAGAGAAGGAGAGAATTTAAAACTCAAAATTTTTTAAAAAAGTGTTAAAATCAGTTTAAAAAATCCATTCCATTATTACAATGAAGACTAATTGGAAGATAAGGGAGAGGTGATTCAGATGACCCTGTGGTGGTAGTTTTTTTTTTTTAAATGACTGTGATAATGCAGCAGTACTTATTGATCAGCTCTTTTCTGGAGATCACCACAGATTAGAATCTTATTTGTTTGGAATGGTGATGTGAACCAGTGTAATGGCAAGACGATGATCCAAGTCGCTACTTAAGGCCCATTGATTAAGGCTCACTAAATATTATCAAGTGAGGTCATTCATTAATTCAACAAATATTTATTAAAGGTATACTATATGTTAAGCCCTGCCAGTAGGTTCTAAAGGACATGGATACAAAGACAAAAATGAGATGATCTTATCTTCAAGGAGCTTACATTCTATTGAGGGAGATAAAATGTATATGTAAATAAATACAAAATACATACAAAGTAATGTTTGAAGGAGGCACCAGCAACTGAATCAGGATAACTATCCTCTAGGAAATGTAAATTAAAGGAAGTTAGGGATTCTACCAGATGGAGGAAAGGAGGAAAAGCACTTGAGGTGGGGAAAGCAGGTTGTACAAAGGCATGGAGATGGGAAATGGAATATTGTATAAGCAGGAGAGCAAGGAAGAAAGTTTGGACAGATAAACAGCAGATGCTGTTATTACATAATTATTTAAGAGCTAAGCCAAGGAGGGAAATATATAAGTGGTAGCAGTGCCCCTTCTCTTAAGCTACTCACAGACTTCTTAAAAGTGGCAACACTCCATTGTCTTTTGGGTTCACCATTTCGATTTTTTTTTTTTGGACTTTGTTGTGTTCTGTGATTCGTAGCTATATAGCTTCACTGAAAGATATTAACACTCTCAACAAAAGTGAACGGTAAAACCATTGTGAATCTTGAAGAGAAAGCCTCACCTAGATATATATGAACTCTGGTGACAAATGTCACCAATTGGAAACACAATATCTTGTTTCATTCTCCACCTTGTCCCTGACTCCCATCCTTTCATTCATCAAATCTTGATGATTCCACCTAGTCTTTCTCTCACTAGATCCTTCCTTTCTGTGCGCCCCGGCACCAACATAGTCAAAGCCTTTATTATTTCAGGTCCATACTATTGTAATAGTCATCTAATAGGTTTCTTCACATCCATGTTCTTCCCTATATTCTCTCTCTTTTCATTGGATTCAGAAGTTGCTACTTCTCCTTTTCGAAGTGATCATCTCTATTTGTGTCTTTGATCCCATTCCCATTCCATTCCTATCTTCTCTGGGAGTCTACTATAAAAGTTTTTATTTGTTTTTCTCTTCCTTTCTCTTGTAGCGAAATTGAATTGGTCTGTAAAGGCCATCCCATGGAATGTGATCAGAGTTGCCATTCCTGGCACTAGTGGGAGATTTGGGGTCTGCTTTAAGCCACATGTAGCTAAAGACTAAAGGGATTAGACTTTGAAATGACAAAGAGTCCCCTTATTGTATGTGGTACTAGAGGAGCTGATGACTCTGTGGTGTACAAATGGGAGCAACTACCCTCTCCCTCAGTTGCCTTTTTCCTTCCCATGTCAGAGCAAATTTATGTTACATAACCTCAATTAGTTCCTCATTGCTTCTAGGCAGTCCTTCTATACCTCCCTAGTTAACTCACTATCCCATATACCACAGTGGCTTTTCCAAGCCTCTTCATACCTCAAACCTCCTACAGCTCCCTCCAACCCCACTTTTAGATAAGAACCTTATCTCATATTTTAATGAAAAATTGAAGCTATTCACTGAGAGCTCCCTCTTCTCTCCTCCTCATCTCATATCACTCTGATGCCTTCTGCTACTATCTCCTCCTTCACTTGTATCTCACATGAAGAAATGACTCTTATCCTTTCCAAGGCAAACCCATGTCTATGCACAAGTGATCCTATTCTGTCATGTCGTTTCCAGTAGATTGCCCTCTTTATCATCCCCACTCTCTCATACATCTTCAATTTCTTCTTGTCTATTAGCTTCTTTTCTACTGCCTACAAATAAATATGCCCATGTCTGCCCTCATCTTCAAAAAACTTTCCCTTGACCTATCCATCCCCACTAGTGATTATTCATATATCTCTTGCTTTTTGTGTTAAACTCCTTGAGAAAGTCTTCTATAATAGGTGCCTCCACTTTCTTTCTTCTCACTCTCTTAATTCCCTACAGTCTGGCTTCTGATTTCACCATTCAACTAAAATGGCTCTCTGAAAAGTGATTAATGATTTCTTATTTGCCAGATCCAATGGCCTTTTCTCAGTCCTTATTCTTTTTTTTCCACGTTTCTGCAGCCTCTGACACTGTTGATCACCATCTTCTCATTGATACTTTCTTTTCTCTACATTTTCATGACCCTACTCTTGCCTGGTTCTCTTCTCACCTCTCTGACTGCTTCTTCTCAGTCTCCTATGTTAGATCTTTGTTCAAATCATGCCCTTTAACCATAGATGTCTCACGGGTCTCTGTCCTTTGTCCTCTTTTTTTCTCACTCTATACTATTTCACTTGGTGATCTCATCACCTCTCATAAAGTTAATTATCATCTCTATGATTCTTAAATCTGCTTATCCAGCCCTAACATCTCTACTGACCTTAATTCTCATATCTCGTATCTCTAACTGCCTATTGGACATATCAAACTAGATATCCCACAAACATCTTAAAATTCAAAATATCCAAAATGGAACTCATCCTTCCTCCCAAACTCTCCTTTCTTTCTAACTTCCCTATTATAGTCACAGGTGGAGAATCTCTCCAGTATGTTCCATAAATTGCAAAGTATGCATTAATATATCCAAGATGAACCCCTCAAGTATACTGACTACTTGCTGATTTCACTTTCCCGAAGGGAAGCCTGCTACATTTTTCCCTTGAGGTTCTAGAATTTCCCTTAAGGGATTAGAATGTGTGGAAATATTTTCTGCATAACTTCACAGGTATAATCTATCAAATTGCTTCCTTTCTCAAGGGGTGGGAGGGAGGCAGGAAGGAGGGACAGAATTTAGAGCTCAAAATTTAAAAGAATGAATGTTAATTTTTTTACATGTAATTGGGAAATAATGAAATAAATAAAAATATATTAAAACAAGACCAGAATATGCTTCCCTAATGCTATTAGGTAGAGCCTCCATTCTGATGTTTTTACCACGGTTTGCCACCAGTATTTGTACCCCAGTTCCATTTGACAAACTAAAATCAATTAGCTTTTACAAAATATTTACTTTGAATAAACAGCAAGAACAGAGTTACAAACATTTTTGCCACTCTTCCAACACTATGGGAGCATACTTTTCTGAATACTACCTTAGTTCCTGGGGAGAATTTCATGTCCAAATGTGGCATTGCTGCTAGTTGAGCCCTTGTGCTGTTACTGCTGTTCTTGGTCCAAAGGAAAGTCATTCCTCATTCCCTAGAACCTCAAAGTTGCGTTAGCTGACTGTAAACCCTGGCATGGATTCCACTCCCAGACCTCTTGTTAGGTTCCTCTCCTAACCTTTCAAAACTTACCAGATTATAGCTTCCAATCTCCTTCACCTAAAATGAAAGGACAAATGCTGAGGCAAAGAACCAATATCTATATTTATGGGCCACATGATGGCCTTAAATGGGGAAGGCCTGATGCCTCTCCCCTTAAAGCATCATCCCCCTTCTCTCACAGTAATATTGCCAATCAGGAAAGAGGCAGATCAAAGTGGGGGAAAAACCAGGAGGGCTTTGATTAAATAGTGCCTTTCAAATGTTCCCAGTTCTGGCTATGCAAATAACGTATGTGAAAAGTGGAGGGGGATTGGAGAATGTCTGCTCATGTTCCAAAGTCC